CACACACACACACACACACACACACACACACACACACCGTCTTCATCCGAACATAACTCCCCGCAGTAATGAATGTATACATGTCATCTTTCCGCTGAGGTACAGCTAAACCGGGGTGTGCTGTGGTCTGGGGAAGACGGTGCCAAAATGGGGTTGTGTTGCCTCCGGGCCTGTTGCCTCTCTCTCTCTCTCTCTCTCTCTCTCTCTCTCTCTCTCTCTCTCTCTCTCTCTCTCTCTCTCTCTCTCTCTGTTTGTTTGTATGTGTGTGTGTGCGTGTGTGCAGTGCAGTCACCCTGAACGTGACCGGCACCCGTCACTTTCATAGGGCCCTGCGCCTGTGAACGGCCAGACCATGAAAGCGTGGTGTTTTTTTTTTTTTTTTTTCCTGGCCCGCTAGTGTTTTTTTTTTTTTTTTTTTCCCTGGCCCGCTACAGTAGCCACAAGCCCCACAGCGTGATGACATAAAAAATATATGTATATCGAAATAACCTCCAAAATAACAAAGAAAAATGTTTATTTTGGCTGGTTGCATTTTTTTTCTGTTTTAATTAACAAAAAAATTAGTCGTGAAAAACAAAAATGAAAAAATTACGGGGGGGTTACCCTCCGATGACCCCAACCCTCCTATAAAAAGGAAAACGCCCCCCCGAGCCACCAAAAAAAAAAAAAAAACCACCCCGCTCTGCGTGAACTCGGTGAACTACCAACGAGCCCAGCTCAGTTGGTACACCCATGAGCTGTTGAAATACAGATCCATGTTCAAATCCTTCTTTGGACCTTGATGAATGGAATAAATCATTCATCAATAAAATAAAATAAAAACTCCGTGAACTATTTTCGTGACCCGTGACTTCGTGACCCGCCCGCGTTCACCGACCCCGTGAGCCGTGAACGGGGGTACCGCGCTGTGTGCGTGTGTGTGTGTGTGTGTGTGTGTGTGTGTGTGTGTGTGTGTGTGTGCCTGTGTGTGTGTGTGTGTGGTGTCCCTTCCTTCCCTTCCGTTCCCCAAACATCACATACCCTCAGAATAAACGTACCGAAGCCATATTCCATGTCAGGCACAGCCAAAGTGAGGATGCATCGTGCTCGGGTGGAGACGGTGGCACCACGAAAATTGCAGACATACCAACCTCGGGTTGGTGCGACTGCCTGGGTTTGGTACCTTCGACCATGCCTGTCCTCCTCCTCGAGAGGAGGAGAAGGAGGAGGAAGAAAAGGAGGAGGAAGAGGAGGAGGAAGAGGAGAAGGATGAAGGGGAGGATGAAGAGGAGGAGGGCACCCGTGAAAAAGCATGCATACCGACGTAAGGGTTTGCTAATTACCAAACGAAAAAAAAAAAACAAAAAAAAACAGGAAAATAATAATTTGTTTTCGGCATCTTAGCACCATTCGTAAGTGCAGTCTTCAACGGTCCTTGGGGAAAGATAACACAGCCGTTAACAAAAGTTGGAGCGATAACACAAATAAAGAAGATTACCTTTACCGGGGCTCACCTGCGCGTACACGGATGACACGCATAAATCGAAAAGTCTATATCGTTGATGCTTTACAGGAACTGGGGTGAAGGTGGATTACGACGTACAGTAGCATCGGTTAGGAAGGTTCATCCTCCTGATGAGCCGGACCGGACCGGGTGAAACTGCAACGAAACAGTCTGTCAAAGCCGCTCGTCTGTTGTCCTCGTCTCCAACTCTGCTTACGGTACCTTTCACTGAGCAGTTCTCTATAAGTAGTAATAGAGAACTGCTACGTAGTCATGGAGAACTGCGCGGTGAAACGTAGGCAGAGAGGGAGAGGAGGAGAACAAACGAGGGACTGCTCGGTGACAGGTAGGCTGACCTGGCAGAGAGGGCGAGGAGGAGAACAAACGAGGGACTGATCGGTGACAGGTAGGCAGAGAGGGAGAGGAGAACAAACGAGGGGCTTTGTTTTTCTTTTCCAATAAACGAGGGACTGTGACAGACTGTTCCGTTGGAGTTTAACAGGCTCATCAGGAGGACGAAACCTTACAGTCTGCAGAGTCGAGTCCCCTAACCGATGATACTGTAAGTGATACTTCAGCTATATACATATAGATATACATAGTCCGCTGATGAGCCGGTGGAACTCGGACATATATGTAGCCGGTGAAACTCCGAAGAAACAGTATGTCACACTCCCTCCTTTGTTGTCCTCTTTTCCGTCTCTGCCCACGGTTCGCCGGGCAGTTCTCTATGACCACACACACACACACACACACACACACACACACACACACACAGGATATTCTCATCTGAGTGGAATAGGGGCTGTTGTGGTGAGAATTCAAAACACACACACACAACACACACACCCCACAAACACACGCACACAAAACACACACACACACACACACACAC